CCATCTCCTCTGGTCATCAAATCTGCCTTTGGCTTCTCTTGCAGCACATCGTGATCGTCGATTGGTGAACTCTCATGTCGTCTGAAAGAATTACGTGCTGAGCTAGAAGTCATCTTGCGCATGAACTAGAAGTCACCTTGTCCACCAAATGGCAAAGACAAGCTCGAAGGCATTTACTACACGTTGATGATAAGCCTATCAGCTAACGCCGTTGCGATCAGGCCGCATCATATCAGGCAGGGCAACATAACAATTGCAAAACCTGAACCTTCCAACTCAGAACTTTGTAGTCAATTCAAATTCACCAAGCTTCCCCTGCAGCTGGCGCTCTGCACCACTTTCCCTATTACTTCGTGAAGTCGCCCAGCCGTTACGAAGGTACCCGTTTGACATCAAGAACTTCTTCTCATCGGAATCGCGTGGCAGACTCATCATCATGTTTTTCCAACTTCTCTCGACCGATTCACGGTGTTCTTGTGATGGTAGCCTGAGTACCGTACCGTGGCGTCAACGTCTCTTCCTATCTCTTCACGGTCACCCTACGCAGTGTGAAAGTGCATTGCAATCGATGACAGTGGTCTAAAGCGCTAGCTTACTTGCTATCCAAATATTTTAAGGGTGTTACTGGCCTAAATCTGATCAGGGTAGTATTAGTACGTATACGCTGGAAGCCCGCCGGATAGCCTAAACTAACATATGATGAGTTTTATTGCAGGGAAATTGATATATCTCATTGTCATTTAAGACAATCTATGTGTGCTATGAAGATCCGTTCGACCTCTCAGTGATATCTACTAGGAGTCATGCGACCCCATCCCTATTCGTGTGCTTCCGAGCGGGCTCCGTAGCCTATTCCTGACCTTAACATTTTCTGCCAGACGCCAGGCCTGTATCCCGCATACAGATAATTCTCTCATTTTATGGTATCTTGGTTGCCACCCTCGACGATGCCTACTCGGCGCCAGATCCCAGGGACTAATTGTCTTCTTATTGATCTATCTAGGGGACTACCCTACCACCTTACCAGCATGATAACGTGAGGACAGGGTCACAGGACAAACGATATCATTCCGAGTCTATTCTGGATTTGTTGACACCCACTTAGTGTTTCAGGCAACGGATCATACACGTCTTCCGAACCGATCCCTCAAAAGGCATGCACGAAATTTGAACGTCTAACTGTGGATAGCTTAGATGCTCCGAGTCGTGAACCAAGTGAATGGCACAATGGTCATATCGTCTGACGACCCTGTTCAAAGTCTGGGATTACTAAAATTGCACAGAAGATCTCCAACAACAAAAGATCAAACCTTGGTGAACAGGATTTCCACCGACTCGGACGCGATATCGTAAACCCGGCAGCACAACAATACTGGCACTTGCATCCTAGTCCCAGGCTTATGGAATACCACCGTGACCAACAACATCAGACCATTTTTGCGAGAAAGCTCCCTCGAAGGTTGACGAGATCTCAGAACTCACAAGTACTGAATCTACGTTGCCAAAATACACCGTCAGGGGCTCACAGGCATCCATGGCGCTCTTAAAAATTTAAAATCCGAGGGCCTACAGGGGTCCTCAAACGGATGTGCGAGGATGCTGCACAAAACACGGCCTCGAGGAGCGTGCGTAAATATCGCCTCAGCACATGATAGGCCACCTAGAGCGTTTGAATGCAAACTTTATTAGGTTCTATGATAATTGGGATAGAGAGGTATCAACAAGGGACCAAAACCCTACTGAACACCTAGATCGGATAGCTCTCTGATAAACCCTTCCATGCGACATGTTGCGTAAGCTAAGTAATCAAAGTCTGATTCCAATTCTCCTCTTTCCAGGCTGTCTTGCGCTTGTACGATACCCCACACGGTCCACATCCCGTGTGAGGCAGGACTCCAAATACGCACTTGACGTTCCAACTGGAAAACTTCTGCTTCTGAGCGCAACGCCGGAACCGAGGAAGTGCATGTGTCAATGGGACGCGAGTGTGCAAGATACGCCCGAAAGAAATTTTGACGTTCTTCCATTGTCGGATACCGGCTTGGATCCAGAAGATGCGGAGTTGATGAATGATAGTTAGCTGTCCACTCGTGGAAGTGATTAGCAATGTCGAACGCAACTGGATTAGGCGACGCGTATTCAAAATCAACTACGACAATCTACGTCATAAGTTCGGCAAGGTCCTCTGTGCCCTAGAATGACTATTGCTCACCTGGTGGTGCTCAGGAGCATCTTGACGAATTGGGCTAGTTAACCTCAGTATGTTGCCATACTGCGTATCATTGTGCGCGAAAACACGTCGGCATGCCCCCTCTACCTTCTCAACATGAGAAACCCAGCGTAAGTAACGCATCCAAAGTTCAAAAAAGCGGTCGATGTTAAGTGCTTGACGAGTGGCCTCAGATACACACTGGAGACGCAAAATCTCTCGTGCGGCTGGCATCCATGCTTTAACATTTTTCTTGACCCCGATCTCCCAACTCTTTCCCTCAAGAGCACTGACGGCGAGTGGACCCTCTACAACACTAACATCCACAGAATGGAGTTCAGCCATGCGTGAAGCTATCCATTGGCTGGTCTTCCTGTCACGAAGGTCTGCTGAAACTAGCGTGACAGACTCGAAGTACTCTTCAATACGACCGTTTGTAAATGTACCATATACACGAGGACCAAAATGGCATCGAGACGAGAGAATGTGAAGCATGCGCAGCTCGCGAGAGCGAGAGATGAGAGAACCGGATGATGGACCATAGATGCGCAATAAGAGGGTAGGAACGCGAGCAACGGTAGGGCAAGAGACAAAAAAGATGGCATTGGTGAGCGCACCAGAGACCTTGCGGATGGAGAGTAACTCGGGTGTTACCTGCGTCTTGTGCCAACCAGGGACCCGCAAAGCCACCAAAATAGCAAGAAGGTCTCTTGCAAAATCGGCCGACTTGTAAGATCTATATGAAAAGATGGGACGTAAGCTCAAAATGCAATTTGAATAACAAACCCTGCCAAAAGGATAATAAAGAAGCGTGCAGAAAAAAGACAACTAGTATACCTGGCATGTAATTTGGCCTTAACGTTTGTTAAACCATCGACAAACTCAACATCAACAGTGACCTTTGGTTGAGATAAGGACACATTTGAAGATTTCGAGGGACTGAGCACTAAATTGCGCAAAGACGAGGATGACGACACGAGTGGAGAAGGAGAAACGGCGACGCTGTCTGCAATCATGCCAGTTGTTCACATATAGTGTAGTAGGATTAATTCGTTCGACTGTTCGTCTCGGTCTAGGGAAACGTTAAGTAACGGTAGACGGAGAGAAGGCTCAGCCGTCGGCAGCACACGACCATTAATTATGTTGATGGTCGGACCCCGAACTCCGTCGGAGATTAATTACTAACGCATTTATTTAATTATGAAAATGAAAATTTACAAACAAGCATGGGTTGATCATTAGCAGGCGACTTTGCTCAGCAACCATACAATGATGTTGTTGACTTTGTTCTTTCGCAAAAGTCGGATCAAGTACCAGAATGCTTTCATGATTCAACTTGAAGCCTGCAGCAAGGCCGCAAGGCTCCTACCATTCAAGACAACGATTCGAATGTCCGGCCTGAGCTACCCACTTCTAAATCGACTTTCTATCAGGTCACCGGTCACCCTTGATCATCCCTGCAAACAAATCCGCGGGGGCATACCCGGTCCAAGCCCAGATCATTGATGACGCTACACTGTACATCATGCGCAATACCCCTATAATTGCGTCCTGCATCGCGTTCTAGATGCCACAGGGTATCGTGTTTAAATAAAAACAACGTCTTGGTTTTACTTTATGTATGCGACCTGGTTCTAGGATCGAGAGAAATCAAGGATCTGCCGAGGAATAAAACGCACGTATCTAAATCTTCGCATTGTTTTCTCGCCTGCCCGCTCAATTCGGTCACCGCTTAGTTCCCTGAGGAAGACCCTGGAGGCTGTGAGCATTAATACTCTTGTATTAATCAACTTTCAAGGTTGGTTAGTTGTGCTTTATTTGTTGAAGCAAGAGGCGTCTGATCTCTTTAGTGAACAAGTCATATATGCCATCATTCCGCGGGTTAATACTGCCGAGGAAGAGTTTCATTACTCAGCTCATCGACATATAATCAAATCAACTAACACTATATCACTGGCATCGGCAACGGTCTGAAACGCACCACCGCTATTCCCCTTTCACATCAAGAGACGACCCTGGATTGTTTGAGCGAGCAAGGCCCATTTGTTCTAGGAGCTAACGTTCGTGTCAATACTCTATCGATTAAGCTCTGGCCATATGAGTCTGGTAGGCAATCCGAAACACCGTTTGGAAGTTTATGGATTACGCCCTAACATATCTTGTATCGTAAGCATTGTCGAGGTCCGCTAATTAGTGCTCGCAACCCTGTGGCCGCGGGTTTACGCGCAGCCAACGTATCACAGTTTAGACGCTGCCTTAATCTTCGGTAGCAAGCCACGAGGACACTGATAGGCCTCTTCTGTGCGACCACTATATCTCGTCTATATCTTGTTGTAGACGAGAGAAGTCACGGTTGCCGGCATAATCGTTCAGGTCTGGATGTTTTGTATATTCCATTTCCAAGCTGTACGATGTTCCCGTCTGAATTCTTTTTTCAGATTTAAGTGCTGCCCGTGTCAGCCCATCGGAAACACTTTAACCAACATGAAGGAATAGTAAATCGTGTGGATGCCGCATGCTTATTTGTTAAACGGTGTGTTTTGTATTAAAGGGTTATGAAGACGTTACCCCAAACCTGACTTCGGACTACGTATGGGCCTATCTACAACATGATAGTTTTGCATGCTCAAATACATGCTTCTGATCTACTATGTGAGCATCAGAAATGTGTAAACCCCTGGTAAAGCCGCTAGATGTGGTTGTGAAGATTTGTACTACTGACTCCTGGCTAGCATCGGACCTTACGCACACGTGCAAGGAATATTGTGTTACATCAAACGTTTTAATTCATCCGAACGCTCGTCTAGCAAGTTTATCTATGTACAATAAGAATACAGATTTTGATCCTCTAAACTTCATTAGGCGGTGAGTCGACACATGACTCTTGGTGTGAAGCTTTTTCCTGGATAGCGTCATGATGGTTCGTAGTTTCTACCGAAAAGTATTTCATAAACAGCGAGATCTGATTATGCAGATTGGTGAAGTTATAGCATCACTTAGAAGGGATCACATACCACCAAGGCCAGACCTAGCAGAGGAGCAGAAACGATCCAGATGCTCTATGATATCATTAATTGAGAACGAGTAGAGCGGCATGACCTTGAAACTCACCTGAATGGCTAGAGCCACAGCACCCAAGACTTCATTTCTCAACGAGAGCGGCTCGATAAGACTCAGTAACCTCCAGTTGATGGAAGATGATCCCTGAATTTGGTAACCAATAGGTAAAGCGTGAGATAACCGTTTGTCAAAGACTATCCCAGCAACCGCCTTGCAGACGATTTAAGTTAATGTCGCATAAACGAGGCGGACGGACTTACTAGGCCAATGGTAGCTCCTGTAAACCTTACCAGAAAGAATGCACTAGTCCCTGTAGCGAGCTCAGAAGGATGCAATGCCTTCACAAAGACCTGATAAGGGGCGTGGAAAAGGAACCCGATTCCAATACCGGCGATAAGGGGGAAAGAAATTTGCGCGAAGTGCGAGGAGGCATCCTTGAGTGTTATCAAGAGACCTGTTACACAACCTCAGTGACTTCCCTCAGTATATGTATGTTCGACCTCACTGAAACCCAATGTAGATATCAGCAATCCACCGACGATCGTCCATTTTTGTCCCCTGGTGTCGTTTTTACGCTCCTGGCAGAATCCGATGAACCAAGCGGCTGGCATCGAAGCCAATGATGATCCGAGTGAATATGGCAGCATCTGCACACCAGCTTGCAATGGGGTCATGCCATTCACAGCCTATGCAAATCATGAAATCAGAATCAGATCCACTACAAGGCACGGGACGACCTTACTTGGAAGTAGAGGGCAAGGTAAAATGTGCCTGAAGTGAATGCGAAGTTGTGAAGGAATGTGACAGTCAGAATGATCACTAGATGATTCATATGAGATGTCAAAAATCCTTCCACGCGAAGCAAGCTTCTTACCAACAGTGAGACTTTTGAATGCGGCAGGCGGGAACAATGCCTCGCGTGTGGTGTGCACTTCATAGAAGCCACCACAGGCTAGTATCACAGGGCCTAGAGTGACCAGCAGGAGTGTTGATGGTGATGTCCCTGCATGATGGTGAGCAAAATGTTTGTACTGAATATCGACAGGACCTACATCCACTACTCATAGCGAAGCTGAAACCAATAACCAAACAGCTGGTACCCAGCATGAAGAGAAGACTGATAATATGATGAGCATGGCACAAGAAAGCAAAATTATATCGTACAGTCCGATAAAATCAAACTTTTCGGTGAAATTTTTCCATGACGCATGCTTAGCGTGTCCGAGCGTAACATTTCGCAATGACACTGACAGCAGCAAGAATGCGAAAAGACATACAGGCAAATTCATGTAAACTATTAACTCGGAGTTTAGATTGAAACATAGCAAGGGGATGAATGACATACAAGCCCATCTCCAATTGATTGTCGTGGAGAAGCCAGCTGCGGGGGTGAAATGAGATTTAGATCTAAGATTCGTTATAGCACTTACTGCTGAATAATCCTCCGAGTATTGGACCCGCAACTGCAGAACAGCTCCAAGTGATACTAAGAGCCTGAGACCACTTTGCTCTCTTTTCTGGTTCGACAATTTCTGATGTGATAACCCAGACGGAACTGACGATACCACCGCCACCGAGACCAGCCAATCCGCGGAAAATTATCAGGAGTGTAATATTCTAGGGAGATAAAGATCAGGATACCAAATTCAGAATAATCCGAAGTCAAACAACCTTTGCAGCCCCGCACAGCAAGGATCCGAGGGCGAAAATCATCATGCTGACATACAAAACGTTCTAGTAATATAGCGAGTAAATCCACTCAGCCTCTTCCAAGTTTGAAAAAGAACACACCTTTCTTCCTACCAAATCGGATAGTCTTCCATACAGGGGTTGGCCAGCTGTTTGAGTCAGCATATACGCAACCCCAACCCAGGTATATTGACTCTGGGAGGCCCCGAGTTCGCTGACTATTGTCGGTAGAGATGTTGACACAATGGTCTGTATGTTGACTTAATGCCTAGCACTCAAATTTGAGAAGGGGATACGCACAGAATCTGTGGTGGCAAGAAAAAGTGTCATTGCGGCCCTGAGGTTCGATCACATACTGATAAGCGAACAGCAATTCGAGCAGCGTGAAATATTACCCGATGTGTACGAAAAGCAGTCGGGACACCGAATGTTTCGGGGCTTTCTGGATCTCGTCACGAGAATCAAGAGAGGCACAATCGCTGGCGTGTGCTTTGTCCGATGATGCAGACGCATCGTCCGAACATGACGAGCATGAAGGAAGATGAGTTGGCGTAGGATTAGCTGCATTGTCTAAAGACATTTCAAGGAACTTGCAATAAGAGAGAGCACAGTAAGAAAGGCTGCTCGAGGTTTAACGTTCTCCTCGTCTTCGTTGCCATTTTATACAAGGACCCTTTGCTTTGGTGGTGGCTTCGATGAGATCTGGCATAACTAGATTTCGAAAAAAGGGCTTCTTTGGCTTTGGAACTATCCTCTTGTGACCCTTTGACTTGCGGTCCGCAGACAGCGGTGAATGTGCGCTGGCATTAGGCTTTACCAATGATGATATTAAATTCGACCGCATTGTGAAGCCTTTGTGGTAAGAGTCCAGCCCGCAACAAAGAAGAGAAGGGACCTTTGACAGCATGCATTACTGCAGTCGATAGGGTTGAATTTGGCAAAAGATGAACATTGCCCAGTGTGGGGGAGTCAAGTCATGCACGCTCGAGCGCGCATGCCTTGATGGCATCTAAACTTCGGACACAGAACTCTCTTGAAGAAGATCAAGTTGAGATCGCCGCGCACTAGGTTAATTCTTTTCAGTTTCGAAGTTCCAGCAAGGGACAGAAGAGACGGATCGAGAAGTCACTATTAAGTACTAACATTAACTGAAAGCTCGATTAATGTTGAATGTTGGCACCGCGGCACCTCCCTATACAGCCACAAACACGTTTAAACAGAATTACTATTAGGTACGAATTACGGCCTCCATGCAGTTTCAGGGCAAACACTAAGTTACTCTCTTTTAAGTTCACAGGGCTTGTTCCACGCAAATATCGTATGGTAGTTGCAGGGGGAATTATCCCATTAAAGTGTGTAGTTCACTATGCTTCTATGGATCTTCTCTAAGCCGTAGCCCTCCTCCTGTGCTCACCCTCCGCGTTCTCCGATAGCCCACTGCTTTTTGCCAGATCCCCGGCATCCAGTTCGTCTGCTGATTGAATTGAGAAGCGACAGGTAGTAGATAACGAAACGTCGTCAGGACGGACCAAAATATGGATAAATCAAGACCCAGTAAGCCTTCGTATCCTATTCCATGTGCGAGACACCCAGCCACCCACGGAAGCCGGTGACGGATGAGAAAATGAAGTCGTACCATTGTTATCACCCATTAAACTGGTATCCTTCGCATCTGGTATGCTTGACTGAGCACTAGTCGAGGCGCCGGTGGGCGGAACTGGATCATGTCTTGGACTGCTACTCCGACCCTCAACGTCGTCCGCGTATTGCTCCAAAATCTCCCGTTGTCGTTTCGTTAAAGATCTATGAAAAGTGGGTTACGTAGGCGCTGACGAACATCAATTTCGCTCACCTTGGAAGCTGCACGGAGAAAGAAATAAAAAGATCCCCCTTATCACCACCAAAAACTGACGGGACACCATGGCTTCTTAGGACCATCTCCTCGCCATGTTGAGTACCATTGGGCACACGAACGTCCACATTTCCATCCAGTGTCGGCACACGAACACGGCCGCCCAAGAGTGCAGTATGCAAAGGTATGCGCACTTCGTGGTGAAGGTTTGCACCTTGTCTACGAAACACTTTGGACGGAGCGACGTTGACCCTGACAAGCAAGTCCCCGTGGCCGCCCTTGCCTGATAATGGCGCATCGCCTGCATTCGGAATGCGGATGGTCATTCCGTCTTCCACCCCTGTGCAATAAATTAGTTACCGGAACGAAAACGATGTCCAACTCCTGACCTGGTGGGATATCTACCTTAATACTTTTTTTCGTTCGCACATAACCCTGACCACCACAATCAACGCATTGACTTCCGCGGGGAATGGTAGAACCAGAGCCAAGGCATGTCCCACAAGTACTTGCCATCTGGAATCCACTATCTATCACAAAAGTCTTGGTACCAGTACCATTGCATGACCCGCAAGGTACACGCTTGGCACCATGTCTCAGGCCTGTACCAGCACATGTCGAACATGTCGACAAAGCGTTGATATTTACACTGAGAGTTGTTCCTTTGCAGGCGTCCAAAAACGAGACGTTGATGCGTGTCTCAATGTCTGCTCCTCTCGCACTTTGGCTGAACCCGGAGCGAGCTCGACCCCCGAAGGAACCGCCGAACAATTGGGAGAATAAATCGCCTTGACCTGAACTTCCACCAAATGCCTCGCTGAAGTCTCTAAAACCACCAAACCCGCTTGCACCTCCTGCAAATGGATTTCGAGCAAAGGCATTAGGATCAAAGCCTGGTTGCTGGGATGCAGCGCCATATTGGTCGTATGCAGCCTTCTTTTTCTCGTCTTTCAAAATCTTGCATTACAATGTAAGACACAGCACGTATAGATCAATGAAAATGTGGTAAATGACGTACGTCGTATGCTTCTTGTATCTCCACAAACTTTTCCTGCGCTCCTTTATCAGGATTTGTGTCCGGGTGATACTTTCGGGCGAGCTGTAGAGTTTGGTGATTAGTGCGACAAGCATCAATTAATTAGTTCCGATGCGCACAGCAAAATACGTTTTCTTGATTTCTGCCGGAGATGCATCTTTCTTAACACCTAAAACTTGATAAGGGTCCTTGGGGGGAGCAGGCAGCGATGCAGAGGCATGAAAGGTGCGCTGAGAGATAACAGTCAGTATGACGTGACAACTGTAAATCAGACCTTATGGCAAAATTGTGACAAACCCTCTGGCCTCGTGCGCTGTGGCCATCGCGGCCAGCTCGGTAAGTTGAGAACGTCCGGGTGTTCGGCCTAGTTTGTTGTCGAGCACAGCCGTAAAAAGAAATGAACGACGAAGCTGCAAGTGACCGCAAGTGAGTGATCATTTACAATTGTGCCTTTTGACCCAAATAGCAGCGAAGCAACAGAGGTAAGTTGGAGAGAACACAATATTGTATTTGCGCCCAATAGAAACGTGACGAATTTTGAATGTACAACTATTTGCCCTGCTGACTAATAAACTCACTCATACCACGACTCCTATGTAGGTCTAAGTACAGAGCGAGGACAATTGAATAGAGCTTCACACAGTTATATGATGAATGTCTTCTGAGCCGAATATCGTATCCATATTTGATTTTTCTAGTCTTTCTCCGGACTATCGAAGTAATCAAGGGTCAGAATTTATGACGCCAGCACGTTGAGAGAAGCGCGGCAAGGACAAGCGTACCGAATCAGTATGTGTACATGGGCAGCTAGATAATAGCTATTCCTGCTTGGAGCTAGAATCCCCTATCAAGTAGCTTAGCAGTCCGATTCACGATTTATAGGCCCACCATGTAAGATAGCTGTCCATGGTCTCACAACCTGTTGATCAAATTACAGAAGCACACGTAAATCGCTTGCAAGGAAGGTCATTTCCAACAGTGCTCGGTTCCTCTTTCAAATCTACCGTTCAAGCTTAGACCATTTAATGATCTGGGCTCCCCTGGATGCATTACCGCCGTTTAGTATTAGGATTCAACTGGAACCAATGATACGGATGATACGGACCGTGGTTAAGGAAGGTAATAACGCTGATAATTTTTGATCAGGCGAAATCAGGTAACGCGTCTGTTTGGGCTATTCGGGAGCGCCACCAACTTTTTCCATAGGATACTAAGATCTCATCGCCCTTTTGTATTGGATCTTTGGAACTCCAAATGCTCATCCGTAGTTCGCCTTGCGACGTACGGCTCTCCACAAAAACAGCATTGGGTTTGCTTCGAATACCACGGTAATCATTGACGAACCTAGCCTCATTGCCCATAATACTGGCATCCACGCCTACATTATCCCCATCCGCTGACCGAAAAAGAGAAAGATCGTAGTCGGAGTCAGCTCTATCTTGGCAATGCACTTCTCCAATATAGTCAATGATATGTGACCTAGGAAGGATCTTTCGAACAGCAAAAAGGCCGTTCTGTCCTCGTGCAGGGTGAGAAGGTTCTGTGATGTACCTCACGCGGACTAGAGATGTCGAAGGACCTGAAATCGGTGTTTTCTGGGGGGCGGGATTAGTGCCACTGATAAGAAAAGAGCGCACGGGGCCCGGCACAGAAGGATGATAACGAGGGGCGTTGATATACTGAATATGAGAGGGCCATGATGGAGGCTGGCGCCGAGAGCTGGAAGACATGAATATTTTTTTGGCGGAGATTGTCGAATATTAAGCACTTCAAGCTTCGTGTCTTGCACTATCAGGTCTTTCGGCCGCCAGACGAAATATAGAAATATTATAGTCTTGTTTCTTTATTGTGGGTTGACGTCTAAGGAAAACAACACCGTGGGTAAACACGAAAGACTTGCACCAAACACCGGTGCACCAGCCTTCGTCCAAGGGCTTTCAATCATCCATTGAACTGCTGATTTTATCCTCATTCCATGGTGCGACCTCCCACAAAATCTGTAGCACGCATCTATCGAGATGTCAACGCCAATTTCGGTCCTGCATGGCATGAATACGGTCAAAGACTTAAAGTTACTTGGCCTTGGTAATGTACTGACGATCTCCGCTTCAGATAACCTTCAAGTGCAGTGGGGAACACAGGATCACTACGAGATAGTGCGCAAAGTTGGCAGAGGGAAATATTCAGAAGTAAGATGACCGTCCTTGGATCGATGCGGAAAGCCTGTTTGATCATTCCACATAGGTTTTTGAAGGTGTCAATGTAGTTAATGATGAGAAGTGCATCATCAAAGTGCTCAAGCCCGTGAAAAAGAAGAAAATTAAGAGAGAGATCAAGATCCTGCAAAACCTTGCAGGTGGCCCTAATGTCGTGGCCCTCCTCGATGTCGTCCGAGATCCTGCTTCGAAGATCCCCAGCCTAATAACGGAATACGTTGACAACGTTGATTTCAAGGTTTTATATCCTCGTTTCACTGATTACGATGTCCGCTTTTATATGTTCGAGCTTCTCAAGGTATGTGTAAATTGATCTCTGGTAAATTTTTATACCATAGTCTTTTAGGCATTGGACTTCTGCCACTCAAGAGGAATAATGCACAGGGATGTCAAACCTCATAATGTCATGATTGATCATGAACAGCGCAAAGTATGCATCCTTATCAACCTGCGTAATGGACTGAGCTGGACTTCATAGTGCAGCTGCGGCTGATAGACTGGGGCTTGGCTGAATTCTACCATCCGAAGGTTGAATACAATGTCCGTGTGGCTTCGCGTTACTTCAAAGGACCGGAGTTATTGGTGGACTTTCAAGAGTATGACTACAGCTTGGATATGTGGAGTTATGGTTGCATGTTTGCGTCTATGGTATGACCTTCAGTCTCCTAGGGATCATGATTCGGCCTGACAAAATATGATACAAGATTTTCCGCAAAGAACCGTTTTTCCATGGTCACGACAACTATGACCAACTGGTCAAAATAGCGAAAGTTCTTGGCACGGACGAGCTCTATGCATATATCGACAAGTATGGCATACGACTGGATCCCCAGTATGACGAACTCCTTGGAAGGTAAACTTTTCAAACGTGACCACTGATCATGTAGTAACTTGCCGTTAGGTACCCTCGGAAGCCTTGGACTCGGTTCATCACATCCGAAAACCAGCGTTATATATCGAATGAAGCGATCGACTTCTTGGATAAGCTACTGCGGTATGATCACCAAGAGAGATTGACTGCTCGCGAAGCCCAAGCACACCCTTACTTCGGTCTGTGAAATCTTTGCTCGGTCGCTTGTTAATATTCATCTACCTCACTTATAGAACCTGTCCGCAACCCTGTGTCTGGCACTTCTGCTGACGGTGAAAGCGAGGACTCGGGAACATCATCGGCCTGATTTATAATCCACTTCTTTTCATCTCTGACTGCGAAAGTTTTGTATTACTTCCTTTGCATATGATCCTGTCCCTTTCCAACCCGATAAGCGCGTCCGCTGGTGCAAACAAACTGCGTGTCTTCAAGAAATACAGCTTTGCTGAAATCAAGCCATTCCCAACATTATCGATACTATGTCGTGACATGTGACAGGTTCGCTCCACTTTCTCGATCACTCACGAGTATGGTAATCGGTCCTCTTCAGGCGCTCCATAGTGCCCATCACCCCTTAGCTCCATGATCGACAGTCGCGGCTTTGACGGGATCTGTTCCATTTTATCAGTATATCTTGTACTTCATTTGTTGCAGGCGACATTAGACGACGTTCTGTCATGGAACAACACGTGCGTAACGGAGGAAGGGTCAATCATTGGGAATGGAGATCTATGAGTGAACTAGACAAGTCCGCATTCCGACGTACGTCAAAAACGAATGTAGTTTTGATCTCAAGGAAATTACTTTAGGTTAAGATTTACATCGAGATGCCAGCTTCCAGTACAGCCGCGGGATCGGTAACCGTCGCTAATCTGAGTGGTAATATTGCCCTGCAAATGCTTCAAAGCTTCCTATTATCTGGTGGCGTGGTCATGCATCTCAAGCATAAGGTGAAGTCAGTCCAGACTTTGTCTGGTTCGAGCCCCTCTGACCGAGTTCAACTAAAGACCGCATTCACTTGGCGCATCAGTACACTGCTGTTATAACCTCCTATGCTCTGGGCCTGGTTACGTGACCGGATAAAGTGCGTCTCTCAGTATCTTATGAGGTGACATCTAGGTGATATCAGAAGCTCTCCAAATACTGACTACCGGTTAAGGTTGAGCACTGGACAAATCCTGCCCCTAGCAGTGCAAGTTCCCTAGCGGTGCAAGCATTAATGGTAAGGCGCGAGGTAAATTGACTGCTCGCTACAGTAATGGCATTTGACACGATTGATCTGCAGCCCTTTCACTTCAGGAGAGAGTACTGCGCCAATCAGCAATTAATCTTCTGTGCAGTACCGTTTCCAGCGTTGTTTACACTACTGCTACCGCGTTCGGTACCTACAGCGTAGTGGCAACTTGACAAAGCTAGCGTGCGCCGAGGACGATCAATGAGAATGCAGCATGCGCTATGCTTATGAGGCCAGGGAAGTATTGATATTCCTCTAGCAGTCATCTTTGCACTGCCCTATGAACGGAGGATAAGAATCCAGAAGGTAGGCACGCCTACTGCACGTGTAAAACTTTGTGTAATGCTTCTTGCACTGCAGAGGGTCTTTCGGCACCTAGACTAGTGATAGCCCATGCACAACGTTAACGACTCCCGCAGCTCGTATGATCACGATCGGGCACGTTGTTTGCCATGCGTGTAACGTTTGTTTCCCGTGCCTTGGATGTACTGTAAATGTTTAACTCGCTATGATATTCTTTTCAGTTGGGGTACGAACAAATATTAAATGCGCAGGAAGAAATGTCAGCGAGTGCGAGTCGACTATGGGAGCTATCAGTGAGTTTTTCAAAGTCATCTACGATAGGGTCAGATGCTGCCCGTGATTAAGGAACGATTTATCTTCCTTCCTTCTAATGAATTCTACCTGCGGGACACTATGTACTGCCAACAGGCGAACGTCGTCACTTACTTGGTAAGTATCTAAATTTCAGGGAAAGGCGTCAGATGCCGCATTCATGAAAGAAACATTTAAGAATTTGAAACAAAGTATATGCGGTCTACCGTGCCAGAAGGGCAAGAGAGCAAGTCCCAGGAGTCGGCTTAGAATGACAATGTACCAGTTTCCTCAACTGCAATAGAAATAGATAATGTTTTGTAACAAAATAGCGCATGATTTTTCAAGGAGGTTATGAATCTGATATATTTAAGAAACAAGATACTTCACGAGGATCGCCATTATCGCATGTACCCAAAGAACCCACAGCTCACATCCACTAGCCAAACTGAATAACAGCCCGTACTATTTTGCAACGTTGGCAAAAATCGTAATCCGAAGACCATGATAGGAAAAATAGTTCCTTTCCCGGCATTCTGGTGCGAATCATGTCGTGCTCCTGCCTGGTGTCCAGGCTACTGGAAGCGCATAGTAACAGAATATTGTGCAGGGTCATAACCATGATTCTGAGGCCGTTGGGTGGAAGTAGAGCGATTACGAGGAATTCGATGGAAAGCCCCTGCTCGTGAGTTCACGGCAGGGGCAACGGGGACATTGGAAAGCAGAGGACCCTGTCTGGCACTTATACTGATTCCGTCCTGCAAAGAGGATCCGGAAGAAGCTGTGCCTTGACTGACGGTACTCGACGTCGGTGCTCTAGGTGTTTCATTTCTCTTTTTCGGTTCCTTGGGTGGAGGCGGTGGACCCGGATCGTAGTGAGGGTTGTGGGGAATCCACTGAGAAATCCCAAGGTGATCTAGCACGAAGCCATTCACAACACTAAGGGAGTAGTAATATGGGTTTATATCGGGCATATCTCCAGCCAAGACGATCAACCGAGTATAGATAGCATACCCAGCACATGCGTCGTTAGCTGCATCTGCATATTCAAGGGAACATGTAAGAAAGCACAACGTTCGACCACGTTAACACTCACAGTCTTGCTGGATCGAGGAAAGACGGAGCTCCCAATTACTGCGTTGCACCTTTCCCTTCGCCAAAGAGAAACCCACGTAGGTCTCAAGAAGGCGAGATAACCCAAGTGGGTTGGTGTACTTTCCCTTCCATCGGGCATTATCGACCGAACGAGCAAGAAGTGCTAGCTCTACGCAGTTGCGTGTTGAAACCCCCCAGTCCCGATACAACTTTTGGCAATCACCTAAATACATCATTATAAGATAGGCTGTGAGTTCTGGACCTTCCACTTGACGCACGTTGGATGCTAACGCCAGTCTTGACTCGCAATGGATCCCCAAGCACTTCCCTCAATTTCAACGGAAATTCTACGAGTAGATATATTCCGAATTAACTCATAGAGGTTCACTGTTCATTGAATTCTTGCTCATACCTGACATGGCGCTTATTTGTAGGAGCAATATGGTGTCGAAACCAGCAAGCTGAACAAGCGCTACGCGGTTCTCCCTCCCACCCTTCCTGTAGTTGGGGCGCCATTCCAGATCAAAACCAAGAGGTCCCATGGCCAACCGAGATAACTCGAAATCTGCTTTCAGGTGATTTGTGATGTATCGAATCCGGGTACGAGCAGGACTTTGATCCCGCCAAGAGTAGTGTGGAAGCTCTGGACGCGAGACTGTGGTTTTAACAGAGCCTTCTGCCGCGCCAGACATCCTAGTTTATGGTATATTGGGGTGTCACAGGAATGAAGCTCGTTGTGGTCGTGTACGAAAGCGCTACATAAGCGCTTTCCCAGTACTGTAGTATTTCGATCTATCCGACACACCTTTGTGACCATGACATCTTGGGTGCTCCACCTGTGACCTGTGACACACTCTCACAGCTCTTCTCATGAAGGATGGTAGTGGCATCATTTTTTCGTTCAATTAGGAAATGTTAGACTTAGAGAAATTTTGCCTGTTGTACACTATCTTCTGCTGAAAATCGTTATTGTTTACACCTATTCCTGCCTCGAAAAAACACAAGGGTCTCCTGGAGTATGACAGTGACTTTGATTCCACACTCAATCTTAGTGATGTGCATCACCAAAATTCCAGAAATCTGCAGTTGCCTTATGTGGACACTTTCCTGTGCCACAACCTTGCGAGCCCCAATGACCCGATTAGGTGTGATGATGACGTGCTCACAACTGCTTGCAGGCTGAATGTCTCACTCATCAGCTATACAACAACATACTCGTGAACGTGTAAGGTTTCTACCAGACTGGTGTGCTACTGGTAAGTTCAGATATTGTCTGTGCTCCCCAGATATGTTCTTACCCTAGACTGACCAACATGTCACATGGTGTCGCACAACAGGTTGTTTTTGATGCTCTCCAAGCACTTTGAGTTGACATTGCCTCATCTCACATCATATCTATGTGGTAAGCTCAATAGACCCTCCTGTCTGAGTACCACCACAAACTTGAGGATCTATTGTGCTTACTGCCGCTTGACCAACCACCTGTGACTCGGATATGGAATCCACTGCCTGGCTGAAGGTACACCGGTGAGCTGCGAGTGACTCATTCACCATGCTTAACATCCTTACCTTATCTCCACAGATGGAACTAACATATCCTGTTATCAAGGATAACTTCTCACAGAGGCAAGCTGGTTTCCTGTCCTTTGTGCTCTGACCTTATCACTGCAGAACATGAGCTCTGACTTGGAGTAGCATTCCATACATGTGCATTAATTCACTGTCCTTTATATCCTGAACTTTTACTGCAGACTCTCGCTACTACCACATGGATCTTCCCTGCTGCATTTGTAAAAGAACTTTCATGACACAGAAACAGCTCCCTGCTCATGCTTCGAAATGTGAGGAAAATCTTACCTTCACCTTGGACTCAGTTCGTCAAAAACAGGAGAAAAAGCGGAAATCGCGAGTGAGAGACAAGCTTCGTGATAAGAAGGCTCATCTAGCTACCCCCGTCGACGAGCAAGAACTTGACTATGTCGAGCTTGATCAAGACATTCTATTTGACGATGTAAGTTGGTTTTTAACTACTATGTGCCTGTTTTCATCATAATTTTTCAGGACACACCTCTTGCAGGGCCTTCAAGTCAGGCACTTACATTTGATGATGTAAGTTCATGTTTAGTTATCTGCATGTATCTGTAATAATTTCTTTTAGGACGCACCTATTGCAGGCCAGGCACTTCCGCCCACCCCATCCCCACCTGTTGTTTCAAAACGTTCGGGGCATGCTATCCGCATGCCTCGACTGGTTCGACGACTACCTTCCTGGCTCGGATATACCCTTGGCACACATGCCAAAGTAGCCCATACATCACCAATCTCCTCCACGACCTCTATCGCAGCCTTCTGATGAAGGTTTGCCATCTATCGACCAACCATTGGCTGACTTATTCGAGACAGAGCCCGATTCTATGGGACTATATCGAATCTACCCGACACACCCCACATCTATTCCCCCCAACGACTCATCTCTCATCAGTCGCACAGATGCACCAACACTAGAAGGAGAACAGGTGACAGAGTCATCCAACACACATGCATCTACAGGATTCGCTCCTCCTGATGTGGATAATGATCATATTTTTGATCCATTTACTAATCCAATGTGTGGATTGATGATGACTTGGCGCTATACTGGAACCAATGAGAAGTCTGATGCCAAAGTTAACTGACTAGCTTGCTTCCATCAGCACCCAAACTTCACGCTGGAGGATATCCCTGGCTTCAATTGTGCTTGCGAGTCCAAACTAATGGACACATACCTGCAAGACAGGACAAATCTGCTGCGAGAAGAATTTGGCTGGCGTCAGTCAACAGTCAAAATACGCCTCCCAAAAGAATACCAAAAATGGCCATCCGAGAAACACGCACCAGAACTCGAGGTGCCAGGCATTTATCACCACTCACTCACATTAATCATCTGCTTGACATTCAAGGACAACATTTCAAAAACATTTCACATGACGCCCTATTCAGAGTACTGGAAGGTCTCCGACACAAAGACTGTCCGAGTCTTTTCTGAAGCTTACTCCTCTCCTATGATGCTTAACGCCTATGCTGAGATCAATGCTATTCCCCATGAAGCAGATGATGATCTTGAACGTGTACTAGCACCTCTCATGATGTGGTCTGACGCGACTCATCTTGTGAGTTTTGGAGATGCTTCATTGTGGCCATTCTACATGTACTTTGGCAACCAGTCCAAGTATACACGAGGGAAGCCAACATCATCTGCATGTCACCATGTGGCCTACATTCCCTCAGTATGTTCTATCTTAATGACAATTTGTATGATCATTGATATAAGATATATGTACTGTAGCTTCCTGATAATCTCCAAGACATATATGTTGACATCTTCAACAAAGGCACAATGGACCAGGTCCATACATTTCTCAAATGTGAACTCGTTCAAGCGATCTGGCAGCTGTTACTTGATGGGGACTTCATGCATGCATATGAGCATGTAATAGTCATTGATTGTAGCAACGGAATTACACGTTGTGTTTTCCCTCAATTTTTCTCATATTCTGCAGATTATCCAGAGAAGTAAGTCTATTTGTTTTCTTCAATCATTTTTTTGCATGCTTACTAGCTTCTTGTAGGGTTCTTCTTGCGACCATCAAGTTTTTGGGCCAGTGTCTGTGCCTACATTGTCTCATCAAGAAATCCGATGTTCCCGACATGGGAACCAAGCTTGACATGAAGCACTGTGAGACTAGGCAGCGTGTAGACAATGAACATCGACATTATCGTATAGAAGATGCTCGAAGGCTTATTTTTCAGTCGGGTGCACCTGTTGATGGTACTCGCATCAAAAATCTTCTCAATGGTGAATCTTATGTCCCTATCCGTGTGAGTATTGATCTTTTTCTGGTGTTTTGAGACTGATGCCTAATAAATTGAAACAGAATGCATTCTCAGTTCAGTTGGGACCATTTGACTTCAATGTCTTCATCATGTTCGTGATTGATCTTCTACATGAATTTGAACTTGGCATTTGGAAGCATATTTTCATTCACCTCTTGTGCATTCTCCATGCTCAAGGTGGTAGAGTAATTCAAGATTTGAATGAGCGGTGAGTAATCACATTACTAATGAGTTCACCAATCTAACTGTGTCTGAAGCTATCGGATGATCCCCACTTTTGGCTGCAGCACTATTCGACGATTTCATACAAATGCCTCAGCTATGAAGTGACTAGCAGCTCGAGATTTCGAAGATCTTCTTCAGGTAATCTGACAGATTTGTTTGTATCTCGCATTTCTGATATTATGGACTGCTAGTGTGCTCTTCCTGTCTTTGAGGGTCTGCTACCCGGAGTTCATGATTTGATGGTCTTGGACCTACTTTTCGACTTAGCCACTTGGCATGCACACCAACAATACACTTTCCCTCTTCGACCACGCTACCATTACTCTTGGGAAGACAGTTCGACAATTCCAGAATAGTACCTGTGAGCATTACCACACTACTGAACTTCCCCAGGAGTATGCTACATGAGGACAGCATGAAGCTGCTCTGAGTGCCAAGCAAGGTCAATCTTCCAAGCAAAAAGGGAAGGGGCGGTCATCTGGTCCAAAGGTCAAGAAACTTAATCTTCAAACTTACAAATATCATGCGCTCGGAGATTACCCCAACACGATCCGACTGATGGGGACTGTTACAAGTAACATTGGTCATGTGGCCCCCCTATCATTTTCCCTTCATCCTCGCCCTCACCATCTACCGGCTCATCCTCCTTTACCGACTTTCCATTGACTGGATCCTCGGGACCGTTCCCGTCCCTCGCATCGCCCGCCTCTATGCACGTGCATGCACGTTGCCCCCCTGATTCGACCACCAACGTGGTCCCACACCTATGACTCGGTCTGACTCGTGCCACCAATGTGGCTTTCCTCTTTCTGTTCCTTCTGACTGCGGATTCCCGCACGTTGTATTCTTACCGTTGGTCCGTTCCAATGTTTCTCGGTCTCATTCCACATTCGACCACCCATCACTAATCCGGCTCTGTTGCCAACGCACTTATACCATTCTCGTTTCCCCTTTACCCTTACCTACTGCGCGGTAGCCTTGCCCTTAACCCTCTCCACTTAGTATAAGTAGTCAGTCACCCTGTACTAGATTCTCTAACTTGAATCTACTCAATCTTCCCTGGAACATACTTCCCTCTGAATGCCCCTTTGGCTTCAGTCTCTAGTATCTTTTCTTAGTTGCTCATCGCGACTAAGTCTACCTCGATCGACCTCATCGTTCGGACAAGACTGTCCTTACCTTGAGCGACTTCAAAGACATCCGTCTTAGAAGTCAAGTGACACACGCGTACTGTGATCACTGCCGACTCGCCGTCGCCAGTCTCACTTGCTATACCGGATCCTTCCGGTTACATCACGAACGTTAGCGGACGACGCCCCTCTTAGGGCTCCGCCTAACAGATCTATTTGAGTGCGTAACAGGGACAACCAATAACTACTCAACACAACCAGTGAGTGTTGCAATCAATTGTCGAGTTAGTACTCACTAGCATTCTCATAGGGCAAATTGCAGCATCGACGTGCTAAATGCTGGTATCCCAGGACACCAAAGAACAAGAAGACACTGCTAAAGAATATGGTCGTTCAAGAGGCACGAACTCATTTGATCGTGAAGATCAATGCTCAAGTGGACAAGGTCATTGCTGTATGCTTGGGGCAGTCACAACAACAACAACAACAAACATCCCCCTCTGATCACTATCACATCTCGAAATATCCCAGGGCATCACACAACCTTACTGGCTGGTTGAGCAATCTTGAAGACAATGATCCTGCTAAAATGGTCTATTTTTTGTGTACATGCTTCTATATGTATTAATGCTATTCCTTCAGAACTTCATCCCCCGACTCAAGGATCATCTCCTTGCTCGTCTCCGAGGTATTGAATATTCAGGTGATGAAGACGACTTTTCCAATTCAGACCGAGACCTCATTATCCTGGCAAACAATAAGATTCACGAGCATAGTATTTTACAGATCAATTACACAACCTACGATCTAAGAAGGGAACAGGATTGTATTAACCCTCGAACTTGGGCAGATTTAATGGTTCTCTCACATGAGAATGACAAGGAAAAGCATCCTTATTGGTATGCTCAACTAATCTGCATATTTCACGTGGATGTTTGGTACTATGGTGGTGATAATGCACCTTCAACCTCGAGGCGTATGGATGTTCTTTTCGTGCGCTGGTTTGGACGGGATGTGACCTTTCTGGCTGGTTTCACCAACAAACACCTGCATCACATTGGTTTTATTACCAATGACACCAGTAATCCAGACATCGATTCTGGCTGCTTTGGCTTCATCGATCCTGATCAGGTGATTTGTGGAGTGCATTTGATTCCTGCCTATGCATACAAACACACAAATCAGTATCTAGGACCTTCCTTTGTTCGATGTGAAGAAGAGGCTGATGATGACTGGCGATATTTCTATGTCAACATGTAAGTCAGGTGTTTTATTCTCAGGACAATATCTCACCTCGATTAATAGATTTGTAGACTGTGATATGTTTATGCGCTTTCATGGCAGCGGGATCGGTCATAAAATTACCCGAGAATGGGATGAATTCCTGCAGCGTGATGGCGCACCTGATCAACAGGATGCTGCAGCAAGTGACGATGAAGATCTTGATATAGAGGATGCCGAGGGAGATTGTTAAGAACATGCTCAAGGGTTGGATCCGAAGGGCTTGGCTTCAGCTCATGCGCTGCGCCCCTTACCCGAGTTCGTGCCCCTAACTTCCGAGGGCTGTTGGACGATGTCTGAAGGTTGTTGGACGAGTCCAGAGTCTGATGTCCGATGCACGGGAATTCTGGCAGACATTCAGGAACGAAGGATAAGACTAATCCGGACGATGTCCAAACTAGAAAGGAAACAGCGGAGGACTACCAGAGGTAGAGGTGGAGGTGAGAAGTCTATAGGAATCGATCCTAAGACTAGCAGAGGACGACGAGAGGAGAAACTCAAGTCGGACGGAGAAGAGAATGAGCAGAGTCTAAGATAATATTCGAACTGAGGAAGTACAAAGATTCTACAGGGTTTATATACTACTGAGGACTTAACGGAGAGTCAGTCTGTGCAGTCCGAAGCTATGCGAGGCTGTGGACAGAGCGTATAGAAAAGTCAAACACTAGTCTATCGGAAAATAGTAAATGAAGACAGAGATGAAGACATAGGAAAATAAAGGCAGAAATAAAACGAGGTACGGAAAATGAGTATAGTCTAACTGGAGAAGGAACGTACAAAGGGATTAGGCACAGAAGATAGACGCGGGTTGGATCCGGACGATAGATAGAAGTCGGCCGGATCCGGAAGTCCAGAAATGATGTGTGTGATTGGTCCGGGTCCGGAATGCGGGATATGACAGTATCCCCCCCTTAGGGCCGAGCCCATGAGGCTTCTGATCTGGAAGTCCGGACTGGACTTCTATGAATGCGGGATGATGGGCAGAGCTCGTAAAAATAGAACTGGACATATAAGTAGGCCGGGGCACCCATGAGACGTCTAAAACTTTCCCCCTAACTCCAATTACTGTTTCAACATGTCTAACTCCACTTCCGGCAACTCAAAGTCCACCTGGCAACTTCTACAAGAGAGGCAGGCAGAAATGGCAGACAAAATCGCGCAACTTG